CCCTGAACTGTTCAAGGCCAGGTTGAACAGGGCTTGAAGCAACCGGGGATAGTGGAAGGTGGCCCACAGCAGGGGGTGGAACAGGATGAGCTTTAAAGTCCCTTCCAACCCAAAGAATTTTGGAATTCTACAACCCTGAGCTATGCCTGTGAGTATTAGTCTTCCCACCTTACCAAACAGAATCCCAGGATTGCTAATTACTAATGCTCTAGGACTGGCCTGTAAGACATGGCTCACACAACCCAAGCCATCCTTCAAGGATTTCTGTGGAACCCCATCAAACAACCCTCTGTCCACGTGGCTGAGCTCTGCCCTTCCTGGGGGACACTCACCTGCTCAGCCCTGCCTCCTTCACCATGCGCTGCCACACCTGCACCTTCTGCTCCCGCTGGCTCAGCACCTCCTGGTACTCCTGGGGAAGCCCCCCGGGGGTCTCTGTGGTGTCTCCTTCCATCTCAAAGGGAATCACAAAGGTGTAGAAGTCTGAGGGGGGCAGGAGCCGGAAGAAGCTGGTGTCACCGCTGTCCCTGCACACCAGCATGGGGCTGTCCCAGTAGTTTGGCAGAGTGGCCAAGCCCACCTGAGCCATGTGGTCTTCCAGCATGGGATAATGGGTGTGGAAAGGGGCAAAGCTGACTGCCCTGTTCCCCGAGAGGATGAGGGGCTGCGTGGGGGTGAGAGTGTGGAAGGTACAGCCCGTGGTGGACGAGAGGGACAAGCGATGGCAAACCGCGATGACCTTGACGTTGTCACAGCTCTGGACGTGCACCGATGTCCCCACGGGGCCCAGGACAAAGGTGCTATTCCGGCACTTCTCGATGGTCACGGATCTGCCAGGGAAATACAGGACCATTAGGGTTGGAAGGAGCCTCCATCCAGTCCAAGGAAGGGTGACCTGCAGCAGGTGACACAGGAACGTGCCCAGGTGGGAATTGGGCTTGGAATGTCTCCAGAGAGGGAGACTCCACCTCTCCCCTGGGCAGCTGTTGCATTGCTCTGCCATCTCAATGGAAGGAAGTTCTTTCTCATGTTGAGGTGAAACTTTTTGTGTTTATGGCCATTGCTCCTTATCCTGTCTCTGGCACACCTGGAGATCCGTGTATGGATTGATGGGATCCCCTCTCAGTCTGGTTTTCTCCAGACTAACCAGCTCTCCCACCCTTTCCTTTCCTTGTCAGGGAGATGCTCCAGTCCCTTCATCATCTCCATACCATCCACTGGACCCTCTCAGGAGCTCCTTACCCCTCCTGGGGAACCCAGACCTGAACACAGCACCCCAGCTGTGCCTCACAGGGCTGAGCAGAGGGGCAGGATCGCCCCCTGACCTACTGGGAATGCTCTTCCTAACACCCCCAGGATCCCATTGGCCTCCTGGCCCCCAGAACACACTCATGGTCAGCCAGGAGTGCAGCTGTGTCCCAGGAGAACCCAAACTCACCGCAGAGGGGACAGCAGGTAAATGAAGGACTCGTTGCAGCGATGGATTCTGACGTGAGCGCCCACCAGAGTGTCTGAGCTCTTGGCCAGGGTCTGCCTGTACACCTGGCTCATGATCACCATGGGGGACATCTCTGGCACCAGCCGGGCACTGCAGGCAATCTTGGCTCTCCTGGTTGTTCCTTCCACTGCAAAACAAAGCCCACAGAAGTTCTGGGTCCAGCAATCCCTCAGGAAAATAATCAGCCTCAAAGTTCAAGGATGGTACATCCCACAGCAGTCACACCATCCCTGATGCCTCCTGGGCAGGTCAGCAGCACGAGGCACCAGAAATTTCAGAAACTGAGAGACACTGAAGGATCAAAACCACTTCAAGATTACTTAGGAGCAGTCAAAGCCTCCCACAAGCAAAGAATCTCCAGTTCCACTGGAGATGAACGCAAGACTCACCTTAGCAAGAAGATCCTGAGGGTAGGTTTTAAGCAGGAATTGTGTGTTTTAAAATAGGAAATGGACCCTCTAGGGTCCTTAAGCCTTAAGCCCTTCCCCATCCTCCCTAACCCACTGCCCCTTCTGGGATCCCACAGTCAGGGAAACAAAACATTGAGTTAAATTCCTTATCCTAAGGGGGAAAGTGCCTTGGCTCCACTGCCATATCCCTGAAGAAGAGGGGCTGGATTGGAGACAAGGAAACTTAGACCAGATCCCTGGTCAGCAACAAGAGCTGAGTTCCCATTTCTGGGGTTACTTTTCCTTAAAATTTTATTTACACTATTTATCTAGATTTATTTTTCTGTATTTCTAAATTTATTTCTGTATTTCTAATTCTATTTCTATTTTTTGATTTCTCTACACTTTTGTATTTCAATTTCCATATATTTCTGAATACTTCTGCTTCTACTTTTCCATACTCCTACTTTCTGTAATTCTGCATATTTCTATATATTTCTATTTTGCTCACATATTCCCATTTCCCCCCACACCCCAATGTCTCCCCACATCCCCATTTCCCCTCATATTTCTGTCTTTCTAAGAACACCCTCCCAGCAGTTTTACCCACCTTGCTGTGCCCACGCCAGCTTCTTGCCAGCCTTGATGCAGACAGACACTCCCAAGGGATTGGCAGTGAGGGAGGAGCGCAGCCAGCTCTCCAGCTTGGGCAGGGAGAAGGCTCTGGAGCCCTTGGAGTACCCATTGTGGCTGTGGCAGGGCTGCCTGAGGGCCAGCTCGTGCAGGGGCCGGACGGTGCCCGAATTGCTGACGGTGCCCTCCAGCAGGAAGCTGAGCGCACGCACGGCTTCAAAGGACACCAGGCTGCTGCAGCTGGAATGGGAAGAGGCTGAGAGCTGCTCTGGCTCCAGCAGCAGCTCCAAGATATCCAAGAGGTGGCTCTGAACAAAGGCAAGGTGCTCCTGGTCGTTCCAGTTCTGGAGAGGCAGGAAAACACACAAGGGGGTGAGTTCTCCAAGCTGAGAAGCTCCATGGCCATCACACCATATCATATCATACATACAAATCACACATCATATCATATCATACAAATCCTTGCTCAGAACCCTTCCAGAAGAAGGAAAGCCAGTCAGGCACAGTGCTCACTCCTGCTGCTCTGCTCCCCCAAAGCTGGAAAGACACCTCCTCCCAAAAACTCAAAATAAAGCATTTCATTCCAACTCAAGTACCAAGTATTTCCTTCTAGAGAGCAGCACCAGGCTCTTCTACAGTCCTACAGAAACCCAGGCCACTGCTGCTGGCGTTCAAAGGGAGGACACAAATCAATAACTGACACTCAAGGTCTTGGAGCTGCTCCACTGGAAAATCCCTGCAGCTGGGCCAGACCTGCAGCCAGGTTTCAGTGCCAGGATAAAAAGCAGAGGGTCATTTCTCCAATAAACCAAAGCCTCTGAAAGAATCCTTGTTTCAAATGCTAAAGGGCTCCAGCCCAAAAAAAAGCAGGAGACTGCAATTGTGGCAGAGCTTCATAAAGCTGACTTTTGCTGAAGGAACACAGGGCTGTGATTGCACCTTGTCCTCACCACTTTTGTTCAACGTTTCAGGATAAAGTTATCCAGCTCCTATTTTTAATCACTCCAGCTTGCCCCAAGCTACATTTCACCAGCTCATCCTGCTCACAGCAGCACATCTGTGCCAGAATTCCAGAGGTTGGCATGGCCTTGCACAGGGTTGCAAATTGTAATGCATTCTCCCGCACAGAGCTGCCCAAAGGACACATCCAACTCACTCCTTCCTAAATATCTGGCAGTATCTTAAAAGGAAACAGCGTTTCCACATGGTTCATCTACAGCTGAACAATCAACTCCCCTCTCAGAAACAGAACGTGGCACCCTGGAATCCAAAATTCCACGCTGGATCACGGGAAAGGCACTATGAGCATGAGGAGAGCTGCCTGCTTGACTAACAAAGCAAAAAGGCTGTTCATTCTCAAAAGGAGACTCGCCAAGACTCTCAGGGAACATCCAGTGGGCTTTGGACTCCAGGAAAGCCTCGTGGAAAACTTTGAAAAACCTTTTTATAAACTGTAGAGACGGAAACAGCTTCGCCTCGTTACCAGGGAACAGGAATTCTGCAGCTGGACCCTTGCTCACAGGTGAAACCCTCCCAGGAACAAACCAGCCCCTTTGCAAGCCCCCTGAGGGCAGTTCCTCCTGCACGGGGAGAATCCCGGAGGCACGAGTACCTTATTGCTGCTGGCCGACTTCCCCGGCAGCCTGGGAGACTTGGTCCTGGGGCTGGGCCACTCGTCGCCGAGCAGAGAGCGCCGCAGGGACACATTGTGCAGCTGCTGCACGTACAGGAAGAGCAGGAACTGCAGCGTGTCCACGGAGAGCTGGAGAGCACGGGAGAGAGAGAGAACTGTCAGGCCGGGCCGGGCTGCCTTGCGGCGGGCTCGGGGCCGGCCCGGCTCTTGCCTTGCTCCGCTCCCGCTCCAGCTCCTCGGCGCTGGTGCAGGCCGCCTCAGCCTCGGCCCAGCGCAGGCGGAGCGGCGGGGCGGACCCGAGGAGGCTGCGGAAGAGCTCGAAGTAGAGCCAGGCGATGTCGAGGCTCAGCTGCAGCTTCCCGCAGGCGATGTGCCGCCAGCAGGGCCAACGCAGCCGCGGGAAGCAGCCCTGGTCCGCCCGGGCGCGGGCGTAGGCGGCCGCCTTGCGCAGGTAGTGCGGGGTGAGGCGGGCGGGCGGCGGGGCCGGCAGCGCTCCCACCAGGAACGGCTCCGTGCGCACCCACAGCCGCACCGGCCCCGCCGCCGCCATCGCCGCCGCCGCCACTTCCGGGTTCCGCCGCGGGCACCATAGAGACGGCCCTTCCCGCCTGCCGGGAGCCGCTGCCCATTGGCTGAGACTGCTGGAGCGGGGGCGGGAAGAAGCTATGCGCTCTCTGATTGGCTGTTAGGAAGGAAGTCACCCTGGAGAGACGGCGGGCGTGGCCGGCGCTCTCGGCGGCGACGCTCCGGCAGGCGATTGGCCGGCAGCGGTGAAGTGTGAGCAGCCCATTGGCTGGCGGGGCGCGGCGGCGCGCTCGGATTGGCTGGCGTGGAACACCCCGCGCTGCCATTGGCTGGCGGCGGCCGCCGGGGCGCTGCGGTGCCGCCAGGACGCGCCGCTCCCGCCGCTCCCCCTCAGCCGGCAGGGCCGGGCCCGCCATGGCCCCCGCCTGGATCGGCCGCCTCTGCCTCCTCCTGCTCTGCCTCTGCGGGGAGGCCGCCGCGGGGTGAGTGCGCCGCGCCGCGCCCACGGGCCTGGGGGGTCCGCCTCAGCCCAGGCCGTCCCCTGCTCGGGGTCGGCGGCCGCGGCGCTGACGGGACCCCGCTTGCTTCCCCTCATCGCTCTGCTCTCTCCTGTTTCCCCTCGCCCCTCTCGTCTTCCTCCCATGTCCTCTCCCTCCCCTCTCTCCCATCCCCGTTCTCCTACACGCCCTCCCCGTTCCCCTTCCCTCACCTTCTCTCTCCCCCCACGGCAGAAGAGACTTCTACAAGATCCTGGGGGTGTCCCGCGGCGCCTCCATCAAGGACATCAAGAAGGCCTATCGCAAACTGGCGCTGCAGCTCCATCCCGACAGGAACCCCGACGATCCCCGGGCGCAGGAGAAGTTCCAGGACCTGGGCGCTGCCTACGAGGTGAGGCCGGGAGCCGGGAATGTCCTCCCCGGGCTGGGAAGGGTGGATGGGGCTCACAGTAAAACAGGCTGGAGCTTGGCCTTTGAGACTCGTGAGGATTCATCCTGGAGCGTTCAGGGGGTGGGAAAGGAGGTTTGTAGGGAATTAAAGGCTCTTCCCATAGGATGCAGCTAGAATCCGTCCTTCCCCTGTTACCGTGTGAAATTCCATCTTCCCCCTGTTAATATATTGAATTCCATCCCACATCTCTTATTATCACAGAATCCCAGGATGGTTTATGTTGGAAGGGATCTCATTCCATCCCTTTGCCATAGGCAGGGATCAAATTCCCTTCCTTCCTTCTCCTTCTCATCAATTTCCATCCTCCCCCTATTACTACACCAAATTCCATCCTGCCCCTGTTAATACATCCAGATACTCTCCCAAATGAAAAGCAAGGATCCAGAGCATACCAGGTTGCTTGGAGAGCTGTTCCTGCCAGAGGACAATCCAACACCTCAGCTCTCTCAGCCAGGAGGAAGCCAAGGCACCAGCTTAAAGTTCTTTGGAATTTATTCCCAGTTCCTCAAGGGAGGAGTGGAGGTGCAGCAGCTCCAAGTGTGTGTGGGGCCTGGCTGGGATTAGTCTGAGCTGATGGCAAGTGAAAGGTGCTGGCCTTGGGTTTAGAGGATATTAAGTGAGAAAAGTAACTGTGGGACACAGCAGGATTCCTGTTATTCCGTGCTGATGTTGTGGCATGCAAATGATCCCCCACACTAATAGCCCAGTGCAGTAGATAAATCAAATACAGATTATTGTATTGCCCAAAGGTGTGAAGTCAAAGCCTGCTTTCCTTGGCTGTACGTACACAGTGATGGAATGCAGGCTGTTTCCTGCATGCTTTCTGTCCTTTTTGTCCTCCTCCTGTCACTGTTGGACTCCTTCTGCTCCTGCTCCCCCCTGTGCAGCAGAGAGACCCAGAGGAAGATGGTGCTGAGAAATTCCATTGGCAAAAATTCCTAGCAGGGACTTGCTCTTTGGTTGGGAGCTTGGGGTCCTTTGGGAAAAACCCAGCTGCAGGGAAAAGGGTTTGTAGCCTGGCTCCTGCTTCCATCCCTAGTGCTCCTCAGATATGCAAATATTCCTCAAAAGAGGAAGTAGGAGAACCAGCTGGCATTTATTTCTCTGTGTTGAGAAAGAAAACTGTTCAATTTTGTTTTCTCTCAGAGCTGGGACCCCTTTTTAGTTCTGACTTAAATAAACTAGCTTTATTATCACAGGAAAAATGACTGTAAAGATATTTTTGTGGAAAAAAAAGGTAATCCCCTATCATTTGCAGCAGCTCAGGATTGATGCACGTGGAGCTGTGAGCTTGGTGCTGCTTCTGTGATCTGGGATCTTGTTGGCACTTTCTGCTGGCAAAGGATTTCTCTGCCTCTTCCTCAGGTTCCAGGTGGTTTAAGTGTTTGCCAGCAGCTGAGATTATTCTTTCTGTTTAAAAGCTGAGTGAAAAAAATGTTTGTAAAATCTAATCAGAAAGCCAGTATTGATGTGTGTGAGGTTTGGGGGAAGCTTTTGATGCCCTTCCTTGCCAGGTCTTTATCTGTGTTTGGCCAGGAGAGCTTGGAAATCCTTCTACTGAGTTAGCTGTGGGACACAGTGAGTTGATTTGGTTGTTTTGGGTGAAATGGAGCCAGAATTGGGTGACCCTTACAAAGCAGAATTTTCCTCACCATAAAGCCTCTGTTAACAGCACTGCTGCTCAGGGTCTGGGTAGCTGATTATGGCAAAGCTTTCCCAAAAAAATTGAGGGGAAAGTAGGTTATTGAACCTGCTCAGTGTCTTCATTTTCACAGGCTTGGTGATTCCAGCCCAGAGCTCCATGCCCTGAATTCAGCTGTTTCAACTAGGAAGGAGACTGATCCCAGGAGAGGGAGCTGAGACTCTTCTACACAGAGTCATGAGTCTCAGGATGAATTTGGGAGGGGTTTCCGTGGGAATCTCAAGTGGCAAAGGGACAACTGAACCCTTACCTGCTGGGTGGAAGTAGTGAAGTCACTGCTGATTTTCTCCCTGTTTTCCCATTTACCAGTGGTTATAATTCCACAGAATCTCAGCATGGTTTGAGTTGGGAGGGACCTTAAAGTCCCACCCCTGCCATGGGCAAGGACACTTTCCACTATCCCAGGTTGCTCCAAGCCCCGTCCAACCTGGCCCTGGACACTTCCAGGGATGGGGCAGCCACAGCTTCTCCAAACATCCCAAATTCAGCTGATTTTCATCTTTTAGCTGCTTCTCCACCTGTTGAGTTGCTTCTCCATCTGTTCCCACTCCTGTACAGCCTTCTGAAAGCCAACCTGCCATCTCTGGCTTTTCCAAATATGATCAATGGGGGTGGAAGGGCAAGGAAGACTAAATGTGATCAGAGACTTCTGGATCTCTGAGGCAGGAAAGAGCAAAGATCAAAACTTAGGAAATAAATTTGATGCTTAAAAGTCATGGCTGAGACATAGGAATGGTGGTATGTAATGGTTTGCCTCAGCATGTCCTACTTTGTAGAATTTGAGTTTTCCTTCTGATTCTTTTTTTAATATTTAAGATAAACTCAATGTTTATGTTTTCCAGGCTGCTCCTGCTTTTTTTAATGAATGAAATATACTTGTTGTGTGCTTAACTTTCCCAGACAGCACAGCAAGCAGGGCTCCTGTAGAGTCCCCAGGGAAAAGTGCTGGGGGCCCTCAGAGCCTTGTCCAACACCTCCCCTCAGCTCCAGATGAGCCTTTCCTCCATCCCTGCCTTTTCCAGGTGCTGTCAGACGAGGAGAAGAGGAAGCAGTACGATGCCTATGGAGAGGAGGGCCTGAAGGATGGGCACCAGAGCTCCCACGGAGACATCTTCTCCCAGTAAGGAGTTTTAACCCTTTTGGGCTGTCCTGCAGCTGCTGCTCTGATTCTGTGATGCTCAAGCACCCTTTTGATGGGGTTTTTACCTGGCCCAGGGTCTCTGATGTGCAAGTTGAGAATTTGAAAAAATACATTTACAGTGGGTATCCCACATGCAATTTCCAGTTTTGGTGTGCCCCACTCCTTGCTGCAGACAGGAACCAATAAATACTGCCCACGTGGGCACCTCTGGCCACTGTGGGTGATTTTTCAGGCGCAGCACCTGCTTCAAACATGTGGAAACTTTCTCAGGTTATCTCCGTGTGTGATTGGGGTTTAACCTGTTGTCACTCATCACTTTGGGGACACTCTTCCTTCTGCAAAGCAATGCTGTGGTTACTTGCACAGCCCCTGTAGAATTTGGAGCATTAAAAACCAAAGGCACTCGCACATTGCTTGGACAGAGCCTGATTTTCTGCCCCTTTGGATAAATTTCCCCAGCTCCTGTAATCCTGGGTGAGGACTTGCACTGCTGCTCTGCTCTGTTCTGAGGGACAATGTGCAGGATTCCTAGGGAGTTTTCCTCATCCCTCTTCTCCTCAAACTACTGTAAACCATCCTGCTAGCAGTGACTTGTAGTGCTACTCAGAGAGTTTACAGCTTTTGGTGGTGGCAGCTGAGCAGCAGTGCAGTGTGGAGAGGTCAGATTTTGAGTGTTCTGCTCCAAATGTTGGTGGTTTTTAGTGCAGAAAACTCTTCCAAAATGGCTGCTGTGTTTGAAGACTTCAGTTGTGTTCTGTAGGAGCAAGAAGAGGTTCTTGGGTTTACTCTGGAGCTTTAGGACTCTGAGGAGGCTGCTTTTTAGTGGAGTAGAAGCATTTGCCCAGAATTCCTTCCTCATCTAACCAGTGTGCTTAACTCCAGTTTCTTTGGGGACTTTGGATTCATGTTTGGAGGAAACCCTCGCCAGCAAGACAGGAATATTCCCCGAGGAAGTGACATCATTGTGGACCTGGAGGTCACACTGGAGGAGGTGTATTCAGGAAACTTTGTAGAAGTAAGTTCACTTGTCTCAGTGTTTCTTGTGTTCCAGGTTTGAGGTGCCTGACCAGAGTTCAGAATATCTTATCCCAAAAATTAGAGCTGAAATAGATGCTCCTCTTCTGTGTCTGGCAGTGGAGGATGTTGTGGTGCTATTTCCTGTAGTTTATTGAAGAAAACACACATTTATTCACCTTTTGCATCTGGCAGTGTCTCCATAAAGTGTGATAATACTGATTTGTTGGTTGTCAGTCACCAGCTCGGCTTGATTAGTGCAGCAGCCCAGTTGGAAGAGGTGTAAATTGTCCCTCTGTAGAATGTAGGGATATTTGAGGGGCTGCTCATAAGCTTCAAATTCACTTTGCAATTCTTGTAAAACCACATTGAGGATTTTTCAGTCTCCTTCTAAGGCCAAACATGTCACTGCAAGTTTCCAGATTATATAACTGAGAAAAGTATGTGGAAAATTATTATCTTCTTTCAAGCAAGCTCCATCTCTGGTGCTGACAATCCCTCCTGTCTGCATGTTGGCTTCCCCTTGGTTGATTTTATGCTGTGGCTGTTGGGGGAACTCCAGATAATTTCCTCATTGTGTGGGACAAGGAAGTGTCATAACCAAAGTGTGGGGTGTTCCACCCCAGTGTTACCTTTCCTGTGTGGAAAAGTGTGGAAAGAGAATGGCAATAGTGATGTCAGAGAGAGTTTTTTTGGTGTTTAACATGTGATCACAAGGAGAAAACTTGTCATTGTTTTGCCAAGGCCACATTTGCAGCTGTTGTGGCAGCACCACACAAACAACATGTCCCTGCCCATGGCACAAGGCTGGAATTAGGTGTTCTTTAAGGTCCCTTCCAACCCAAACCATTCTCTGTTCAGAGAAATCCAGACCCTTATGGAGGCCCAGGAACACTGACATCAGCCTCTCCCTCTTCCCTGCAGGTTGTCAGGAACAAGCCAGTGGCAAGACAGGCACCTGGCAAACGGAAATGCAACTGCAGGCAGGAGATGAGAACCACCCAGCTGGGGCCTGGGCGCTTCCAGATGACTCAGGAAGTTGTTTGTGATGAATGTCCCAACGTCAAGTGAGTTTGGTGCTCGTTCCTGCTCCACAGAATCCTAAATTCCGTGATTTTATGTGGTGACATCAATATAGGGATGTGTATTCCAAAACCCACCGCTAGGTGGGGGAACGCGCCTGTGTTCCCAGGGAGAGCCGGGGACTTTGGGAAGGTTTAACACCGGCTTCTCATTTCCCGGGAGCCACTCTTGATTCTTACATCTGTTGGATGTAGAGCTCCCCAGTTTCCTCTTCCAGCCTTTTATTCCTTGCACAGTCACACTGCAGTGGAAGTTCCACAGCTGAATCTGAGTGGGAAGCACACAGCTGGGAACAGCTGGATATGGAATGCCATGCTGTAGTCACACCCCCTGATGGTGACTGTGTATTTGGGAGCTTACAACTTCACCTTCTCTACTGCCTGAGTCTGAGCTCACCAGAAAGGCAGCTGTGGCTCTCTTGCTTTAGATGTGAGCAAGGAGAGCATGTGTGAGCTTGTGGGGGTGTTCTCCTTGCCGCAGGGACGCAAATTAAAAATTGAGATGAAGTTGAAATAAATAAATAAAGTTGAAAACTGAGTGCTGGGTTGCTCTTCCCATTTTCAGGCTGGTGAATGAGGAGCGGACGCTGGAAGTGGAGATAGAGCCGGGGGTGAGGGATGGCATGGAGTATCCCTTCATTGGGGAAGGTGAGTGTGTGCTCAGCTCTGAGCTGCTCCTCCTCCATGGTTCTCTGGCATTGGCAGTGCCAAGCCCCCCATGTGGCTGGAAGTGCTGTGTTCTCTGCATGTGCTGAAATCCAGGAGCACGTTCCTAGTCTGGATAACACAGTTCCACTCCCTTGGCTGGGAGTGGGGACATGCACAACACCTGAGCATCTGCTCCAGGCTTGAGCCTTTGGAAGGATCCCCTCTGCCCTTCAGTGACTAAAGGACATCATTAACATGCAGACAGGTCTTCCAGAAAAGCAGAGGTGTGACCTTGCTGAGGCAACACCCATAAAGCCCTAAGCTCTTTAGGAGATGTTTAAGCAGAATTTTGGTCATGTAAAGGTCAATTAGTTGGGTTTTTTTTCCTTTAACTTGTGAGCTGCAAGTCTGTAATATCCTGCTTGTCTCTCCACTCGTGCTAACTATTTTCTTTAAACAAAACTTTTCTTTCTCCCCCACAGGTGAGCCCCACGTGGATGGGGAGCCAGGAGATTTGCGCTTCCGAATAAAAGTTCTTAAGTAAGTCTCCAGCCTAGTTAGGCTCTTGCTTTGCCAGATGGAGCTTGTCATTCAGCAGGGCAGGTGCAGGTCTAGCACTCAGGGCTGTACAGGATGCTCAGCCCTCATGGTGCTGGAGGAGCTGGACTTGATGCTGTTAAAAGTGGAATTATCAAAGTATTTTATTTTTTTGGCTTGAATTCGCCATGTGTGATTCAGAATAAATATCTCATTTTTTCTAGCACACAATCTTGTAAGGAAATGCACTACTAAGAAAATTGCTGTGTGAGTCAGGACTTCTTGCCACACCTCACCACTCAGTGCCCTTGAAATAGAAAAGACACTTATCAGTGCATATCTTACACAGGAAAATGAGGCTAAATTTGATTCATTCCTCACTTCCCCTCCTATTTTTGATTTCTTCAAACTCCCAAATAGAAGGAAAGGAGCTCAAGGACCTGTTTCCCCTCTGGTGAAGGAGTAAAGTTGAATGGCTCTTATTTCCACAGGCACCCAGTGTTTGAAAGGAGAGGAGATGACTTGTACACAAACGTGACAATCTCGCTGGTCGAGGCACTGACAGGCTTTGAGATGGATATTGCCCACTTGGATGGGCACAAGGTGAGGCCCAGGGTGTTGTGTGCATCCCAAATTCACCTGCAGCTCCGTGCTGAGGGTTGGCTTGCTCAGGGTCTGGTTATCTACAGTATTCCCTCTGTTGGAGCATTCCAGGCCAGTGGACTCTCTATGAGGGGTGCACAGTGTGTGCCTCACTTCCTGTGAGCTGTCCCAGCAGAGGGTGGTGTTAGTTCTGGCATGTGTCTGGTAAAACAGCCTGGACCCATGGGATATCACTGGTTTTGGCAAGGAATCAATGCCAGTTGGAGCTTTCCAGTGGGTTGGAAAGAGTGTTGGAGTATTGGAGTGCACACACATAACATGGGCTGCCCAGGGAGGTGGTGGAGTCCCCGTCCCTGGAGGTGTCCAAGGAACATCTGGATGTGGCCCTCAGTGCTGTCTTGACAAGGTCAGAATCAGTCTTGGCTTGGACTCAATGATCTTGGAAGTCTTTCCCAACCTCAGTGATCCTGGGATCCTGTAACACCACTAATGTTCTAAATTTCCTTTTCTCTCCAGGTTCACATTGTGCGGGATAAAACCACAAAACCTGGCGCCAAGCTGTGGAAGAAGGGAGAAGGTCTTCCAAACTTTGATAACAACAACATCAAAGGCTCCCTAATAATCACCTTCGACGTGGAGTTCCCCAAGGAGCAGCTGACGCCGGAGCAGCGGGAAGGTGCGTGCCCAGAGCCCTCAACCTGAGCCTGGCACAGCTCCTCCAGGGGCTGGAGCAGCCAGGAGGGGCTGTCCTGTCCCTGTGCCCCTTGTCCAACATATCACAGTTGGCTGATGGCCTGTGATGAACTCCCACTTCCCTTGGAAAAGAGGAAGCTTGGCTGCTGTAGTTGTGGCTGAGGTTGGGATGTGCTGCTGCTGGAATGCAGCTCTTGGCAAGTTTGCAGGTGTTTTGTTTTGGTGCTGCCCATCTGTGTGACCCCACAGCCTTGCTGGGCTCAGCCTCTGTCTGCTTTGCCTTGGCTGGAATGGGATCACAAAGGGTTTTCCAGCCCCTGCTGCTACTTTCTTGGAGGCAAGACTTGTGGAAATCCCTCTGCTGCTGAGGGTAAGGAATGTCACACTGTGTCAGGAGAAGGGTTGTTCCTTCCCACAGCTCCTTCCACCCTACTCCCTCTAGGACAGATCTGCTGCTCAGCTTCAAATAGAAACCTGATGAACCATGTAGGAATACTAAAATTCCCAGAAGGGTAAATCCTTAAATCCTGTACTCCCAGCAGGGGGAATTCTTTGCTCCAGCAGCCTCTGTGGTTCTGCTGCTCCACATCAGAGTAGGAATCAAGGGCCTCATCCTCTGCCACAGGACAAAGATATTCCTGGCATGTACTAGTGCAGCTCTTCAGGAAATCCCCATCCCCAGAACTTCTTCCAGAGCTTCTTCTGAAGTGGATTGACTTCTTTAAGTGGATTTCCTGGACTCCTCAAGTTTGTAGTGGGAAGCCAAGCGCTGGGTGGGTTTTATTCCAGTGCTTTGGCCACATTGTGCCAGCTGCCCTGTGCAGTCCAGTTGGTGGCTGCAGCTTCAGATGTCCTGAGGCTCTTCCTGCAGCTGTTTGGGCTGGGAGGTGTGTACCTCTGGGCTGGGCTTAGAGTGATCCTGCTTCATGGTTTTATCCCTGTGCTTTCCCTCTTGTTCCAAGAATGTTGTACAGGGCACAATGGCCTCATCACTGTGGAGTCTCAGTCCAGGCTCTGCTGCCCTTCCAGAAGCTTCATCAGGCAGTAGCAGCTCTGAAACAGATGTGAGGTTATTCCAACTGTTGCTCTTGGCAGTTTAGAGGACACTGGGCAAGGAGCAGTGACAGAAGCCTCCGTGTTTCTGACAGAATTGCTCACACACCTCTGCAGATATCCGGGAACAGGGATGATGGCACTGGCATGGGTGTGTTCAGGCACAGGGCCTTGGGTGTTTCTTTCCCTCCCAAAGCAATTCCACATTTCCCAGGGGAAGCTGACTGGGTAGGCAGTCAGATGCCTTTCTGTGTGCTGGGTATCTCCAAACATCCATGATATCAGGAGTTTTATGAGGGAATAGGTCTATCCCTGTGTGTGGCAGCAACTCAGTGTACACAATCAATGGAAAACTGTGGGCTTCAGAATTCAAAACATCCCTTTTTTCCTTATTGTTGGCAGTGGTCCTCATTTCTTATCTCCTGACCACATATCCAGCTCCTGGGGCTGTCAGAAGATAACTGCCTCCAAGAGCACCACCCCCAGCTTTGGAGTCACAGAAATAATATCCCTTCTTTCCTGCAGTGGGACTTGGTCACTGCTGATCAGAGCTTCCTCTCCCTCTGTACTGTAACCTGTCACTTCTAGTTGGTATCAGCAACATCTCAAAGGAAAAATTGACTTCAGGCTCCAATAAAAAGTGCCTGAAGTGCAGTAGCACCAATTGTTAGGATTTCTGGTTGGAATTCCTGATTAAACCTCGGGTACATGTTGAAATATCCTGTGCACTGCTGAGGGTGTTCTGCCAGAGGTGTGGGAGCTGCTGGGAAATGAGGTGTGGGATGGTGCTAATCCAAATTTTTTCAGGGTTCCTGGAGCACACCTTTCTCCAGTTACAGCCTTCCTTTTTAAGAACCAGACATCCAGGAGCCACATCCTGTCACCCACCAGCTGGAAAGTGACTTGGAGGCTCCTCTGGATGCAGGAGAGGAAGTGAATTTGCCTTGGAGAATGACCTGTTCCTAATAATGAGCAGCTTCTAGACAGGGGTTCACTTTGTCCTGGTGTTCCTGAAAAAAGTTCAGGAATCTCTGGTCATCAGGCAAGGAACATGAAAAGCTCTTGCCTGGCAGAGAGATGTCATGCTTCCAGTTATTACTTCCAGGGCAGTTTTCCAGTACTTTAACAAAGCTACTGTGACCCTTGTGCATCCCATCACTGGTTTTCAAGGACAGTAGAATGTGTAGGCAAAAAGGCTTAAGGATAGACAAGCAGGACAAGGGTTGCAGGGAGACAAATTGTTTTTTAGCAGGATTTCCTGAAGGATTTGCATGCCTGAAAGGTTGGAATTTTCTTCTGTACAAGTAAATTGGTTGGTTTCATTACTGATAGTCAATCTAAACCTCCCCTGGAGCAACTTGAGGCCATTTCCTCTCATCCTGTCCCTTGTTCCCCTGAGCAGAGTCTGACCACCCCCGGCTGTCCCCTCCTGTCAGGGAGTTGTGCAGAGATAGAAGGTCCCCCCTGAGCCTCCTTTTCTCCAGGCTGAGCCCCTTTCCCAGCTCCCTCAGCCACTCCTGGTGCTCCAGCCCCTTTCCCAGCTCCATTCCCTTCCCTGGACACGCTCCAGCCCTCGATGTCCTCCTTTTAGTTATTTAAAGGTTGCCCACAGTGTTGGGAGTTTCCCTCTGTTTTGGGCTCAGTGGTTTTTGAGGCTGCTCTGAGCTGTGTCCTGAGGGGCTCCAGGGCAGTGAGTGACCAGGCTGAGTTAATCAGAGGGGACTCCCTCTCTAATCTCTGGAAAAACAGTGACACATCCACCCTTGCCACTCTGCTTCCTCTGCTCCATGTGGGCTTGCCCTTTAAGCAGCAGTGGAGACCTGCCAGCCCTTCCCTGTCGTGCCGTGCCGACCCCAGGAGATGAGCTATTATGGATTTAAGGGCTGACTCACTCCTTAGCCTGTTTGGTAACAATTTGATACTGACAAATCCTTGAACTGCCCATTCCTTGGAGTGTTTAGTGTATGGGATTTCAGGAATGGGGAAGAAGTGCTGGAAGAATCATCCTGACATCTTTGCTGTGCTCTGCGTGTGACACTCTCCCTTCCTTTGCAGGTCTCAAGCAGCTGTTGAAGCAAGGATCAGTGCAGAAGGTCTACAACGGATTGCAGGGATATTGATGTGTGGAAAAACTGGACTTCCCTGGAAATGCAAAGTCAGATTTGTTTGCAGTCTTTTCTCCTGCCCAGTGTAGAAGGGGGAAGAGGGAGGGGGGCAATGGTTGAGGTTTAGCTCATCTTTGGTTTGTAAATTATGGAAGTGCTCAGAGTTTGGGGAAATACTTTTTCAGGACATAACTGGTGCTGCCTATCATGTTCCACGTCCTGGAACAACAGAGATTCCTTGAGCAGGAAAACATAGGTGGGGAAAGGAGTTTTAAATTCCACACAGATTGGAATTCCGGTTTTTAAATATATTTTGATGTGACTTTTCTTGGCCATCTCAACATATTTTCATAGCTGCTCCTGCTTTTTATGTCCTTTGTGTAAATTTCTTCCAAATTCCTGTTGTTTTGGGGTGATATTTTTAAGGCCAGCCCTTCCTCCCCTTCCCCTCTGAGTCCAGAGTGCGGTATTGGTTGAGAGTCTGGTTTTGGGGCAGGAATACTGATGCTGTTGGAAGTGCACTGGACTGTGTTAGACCCCAAAACTGGTTGGGAAAAGAGTCTTTCAAGGCCTCTGTGGGCTCTCCTAACTACCAAGTCCCCAAAATTGGTCAGAAATTTGAAGTTGCACCAGTTTAACAGAGACTCCTTGGTCATGGTGGAATTTGGGAATGGCTCCTCATGGCCTTGGTTGTCCCTCGTTGCCCCCACATGGAACCAGTCTGGAAAAGCTCCCTCCCCTCCTGCGCTCTGTCCTCCGTGAGGACGGGTGAGGCTGATGGGAATAAAGTGTTTATTGGAGTTGGAATGGCAAAACCTCCCTGGTGATGTGTTTCTGGGACAGACCTGGGCTTCCCTCTGCCAGGCAGCAACAGAAATCATGGAATCAGTAAGGCTGGAAAAGCCTTGTGAGGTAAAGTGCAACCCAGCGCTGCCAAAGCCACCTTTAACCCATGTCCCCAAATGCCACATCCACACGTCTGTTAAACCCCTCCAGGGATGGGGACTCCACCACTGCCCTGGGCAGCTGTGCCAGTGCTTGACCACCCTTTTAAGGAAGGAATTTTCTTTCGTATCCAATCTAAACCTCTCTTGGAGCAACTTGAGGCTGTTTCCCTTTGTCCTGTTGCTGGTTCCCTGGGAGAAGAGCCCAATGCCACCTGGCTCTACACTCCTTCCAGTTCCTTCAGGGATCTTGGGGGCTGTAAAGTGGGATCCTTCCAGCTTCTCCCTACCCCATTCCCTATTTGGGAAGTGGATAGGCTCTGGTTTGCCTACAGGGAAGTGTCTCCTGGGGAGCAGCAGATAGAGCCTCAGGGTGGTTTTGTTTTCAGTTTATTCCCTCTTTTCCTTCCTTGGGAGCAGGAAGCAGCTCGAGGTGGGCACAGCCCCTGTGTCCATGCTGCCCTTGGTCCAGCAGGTCCCACCCACCCCTGCAGCTCCAGTGGGAGTGACGCAGGGGAAGCAGCAGCCCCGGGAAGATTTCCTGTTGGATCCTGTGTACATTTGCCTTGGCAGAGCACAGCAGGGGCTTGGGGAGCAGCTGAGACAAACCTGCAATGCCAAACCCTTGGTCTCTGCTTCTCCTCAGAATCCGTAAGGATACAGTGGTAACCCCAGCTGAGGCTGCTTCCTCTGCCCACAATGCCCACTCTTTTCCAGGTGCTGCCTCTGCTCCCCTCTTAGTTCAAATTTCTAGGAAACCTCAGATTTCAAAGAAATTCCTTCTCGTATCCCAGTGCATAGGGCTGTTTCCTGTTATTCCAGCCACTTGCAACCCTGCTCACCTGTAGTAATAAATCCAAAAAGCCAGGATTTCACCCCTAAGCTCCATTGTGTAACCTCTCCTACCTGCACCCCCAGCAGCAGCCACGGGGTTTATTTTGGGCCTGAGTCCTTGTTCCCACTGCTGCTTTCCTTTCCCTGCTAATTCCTTTCCTTCCTGTGGTTTGTTTTTATTGCATTGTGGGGCCAGACTCTTTGGAGAACACAACAATGGCTGCAGAGCCCCGGCTTGCACACCAGCAGGGAGAAAGACAGGAAAAAAAGCCCCAAATTCCAACCAAAAAACCCTCTGCTTCCTTCCACCCTTCCCCCCCTGCTGTGGGCTGTGCTTGGAGCCAGCTTCCAACGCCTTTCCCACCTCCAGACAAAGCTTCCAGAGCTTCCATGATTCTGCCCAGCAGCAACAGCAGTGCTTGCTCAGACGTTCTCAGTGGTTTTGGTCCTGGCCCACTCACAGGGTGCTTGTTTTAGGATCATGGAATATTTGTCCTTCAAGGATTGGGGGTGTGGAGGGTGCTGGGTGTCCATGGCATTTTCTGTCCCCTTCTCCTGTGACATGGAGCTGGTGGGAGTGAGTCATGGCAGACATGGACTCCTTTATCCATAGAAATGCTTCCCACGAGGTTTAGGTGTTCACATCTTGGTCTGGCAGCAAACAAGGATCCTGACTGAATCTCCAGGGTGGGAATTCTGTAATGCACAGCTTGAATTTCCAGTCCTTTCTAAGCAATGCCATTCCCAAACTGGAACAAATAAACACAAATTTCCTGGGCCTCTTTTAACCTAAATCCTTGGAATGGTGAGGATTCAGATGGAGGCATGTAGTTCAATTCTTCTAGGAAAACACTTGTCCTTGGAATGCACTCCCAGAAGTCCATGCTGCTTTGGGAAGGCCTGGCTGAAACAGGGTCTTGGTTTATTCCTGAAGGGAATGGCTTTCAGCACCTCCAGGGGCTGTGTGTGTTCTTTCAGAGCCTCACCACAGGCTGGCTTTTAGATGTCATCGCCTCCATCAGCTGTGTTCCCACCCTTTGGCTGGATCCCTCCCATCCCAGGGGAGGGGAAGGAGCAGATGGGATGAGGATTCCATAGCAGGTTGATGATGGGAGGGAATACAGGACTCATATCCATCAAGCCCTGCAGCCTTGCTCGTGTCTTCTGTCCCTCCACGGCGTGGGCTGGCTGCACCTAGAGCCACATTCCCCATCCCAGCCTGGATGGTGAAGTTTTGGGACTGCTCCAAGGAGTTTCAGCCCTTAGTGTGGGGGTCTTGGGAGGAGGGCTTTCCTCCCAATGGCTTCATTCACACCAAAGGCTGCTCCCAACTCTGGGAAGTGGGTGAAAGTGTTCCCAAACAGCCACTTTTCCAGGGAAACGTCTCTGAAGGCGCAGTGCAAGCAAGCTTGGGTTTTTCCAAAGAAAAATCTTGTTTTTTCATGTCTCTATCTCCCTCTGAACCTTTCTGCTCCAGGGCTGGGCAGAAGGAAGAAGGGAGAAGGGACTGTTGCCAGGAGAAGTTTGCTCGCTTTGGAGTGGGAACCTCCAGCTGGAATGGGAAGGTGAAGCAATGATTTTTTGCTGGAATCCTGACTGTGATTCCCAGCCAGGAGTCCCCATCCTTGCTGGCCTGCATTGCAGGAGCAGGAGCTGGTGGAGCAGCCTGGCTTGCTCCGGAGCAGTCCCCAGGGAGAGGGCAGCCCTCCGGGGCAGGGCAGAGGTGTGGGATGGGTGGTACCCGCTGCCTTCATCCCGCCTGCCACGGATCCCTGCTCCTGGCCAGCAGCCAGCTCTCTCCTCCCGTTTCCTCGGGCTGACCTGGGAGGTGAGCAGGAGGGAAGAGGGCAGCGCTGGGCACCGATCACCCTGCGAGGAGGGAGTGGCCAGCACGGCCCTTCCCTGTGCTGAGAGGCTTCTCCAGGGAGCTGCTCGTTTCCAGGTGGGAGCAGGAGGCTGCTAGGAGCAGATCCCCTCATCCCCAGTGCAGCCTCTGGTGTTAACAAGCGTGTCCCAAAGTCAGGAATTAAAACATCTGTGGCTGTGACACTGTGACCTTTGGGAATTTGGAAGGATGGGGTTTGTTTAGTCCTGAAAAGCCACAATGACACCAGTGCAGGCTCCGAATGCGTAAGAGGTGTTTACAGGGATAATCCCACTTCCTTCCAGATGGATCCCATCAGCCCCACTTTTTTCCCCCCTCCCACCCCAGCAGGCACCAGAGCCCATCACTGGTTTTGGCACAGCAGCTTCCACAGGACACGGATGGAGATACCAACCTTGCAGAGGGAGCTGATGTCCAAAAGGAAACAGGGTGACCTGCCCATCCCATCCAAGTTCCCCATGGGATGGGTGAAGGAAAGAGCTGGTGCACATGGACATTGCCTCACTGGAACAAGTGAGGATCGTTTGTTGGATCAAGGCTAGGGCATCTTATCTGAGCCCTTATCCAAGACAGCGGCAGCGGAGCGGGCTGATGAAACCACACGTGGAAAACAAAGCCTTGCCTGGCAATCCCTGCAGATAACAGAGATGGGTCACTCTGGGAGCTGGTTAAAGCTGCCAGAAACTTCCATGAGGGTTCATTCATCCTCCTGCAGAACCCAAAAGTCCTCCAAGGAGAAAATTGAAACCACCCCTCACTGATGGATTACGCACTGGCGCCTGTCCCGAGCTGTGATCAGGGAGGAAGAGCAACCAAATTCGGGAAAGGATGAGCCGTGCATGTGGCTGCCGTGTTGGAGTGGTGGTGGAACAGGAGCCCAGCTCCCAGTTCTGAGACAGCTGGGCTACTGTCCCCCAGCTGTCACACCCAGCCAGGCCTCAGTGGCCCCACCATGAGGCGCTTGAGGGTTTTGGGGAGAGGAAGAGAAATTCTGGGGCTACGATGTGTTGGAGGTGGATGCTGCCACCATAACTCCTCTGCTGCTGGCCACCAGGTCGGACACTGATGTCACGGCCAGGGAGATCCCTCAGGATGGAGGTGCCAGGTTTGGGTGCGTTGCCCATGGACACCAATGGAGATGAGGCTGTTCCTCAGGGTTCTGCACTTTGGGGGGATCCCCCCTGCCCAGTCCCTTGTGGAAATGCAAGAGCAGCAGCAGAGTCAGCTCCGTTCTGGAGCATTCTCCAGACACACACAGGGAGCTCGGGGGCAGGAAAAAGGCTTTTCCAGAGATGCATGAAGTGGACAAGCTCAGACTAGCTCATCTGTCCAAAAGATGACACATTTCTGGAGCAAAAAGCAAAGCAAGCTCTGCTGTTCCAGGCCTCCCCCGCAGTGCTTGTCACCTGGGTCTGTCAGTTCTGGGTGCCATCCCTGCTCCATCACAGCCATGGGCATCCCACAGCATCCACACTCAGCCATCCCAGCCAGAGCAAGGAGCTGCAGTCCACAGAGAGGGGATTGAGATCAGGAATCACTCCAAGTCTTGGGACATCTGCAGGTAGCAGAGATGCCCTGAGTCTGGAAGTCAAAGCAGAGCTGGGAATGCAGTGGTTTCTCCCAGCTGGAAGGATTGAATCCCTTTGCAGACAGCAGATGCAGCACGTGTGACCTTGGGCACTGCCCCGGTGTCCCTGGATGCTGGCGGCAGGGACATGGAGCGCTCGGCCCACAGCACAGCTCCTGCCAAGGGCGCTGCTCCAAGGGCCGAGCGATGACGTTCCCGTGCCTCAGCCGTGTTGTTTTGGATTCTCCGGCCTCTCGGAGCCCGCCAAGGGTGGGGAGCGCCCCAGCCCCTGCCCCAGGAGCCTGGGGGAGGTGGGGGCCAGGGTGATGAGATGTGGGCTTTGGAGACCTCCTCCTCCATCCCTCCATGAGGACAACCACTAAGATCATCTTCGCATCCCTTCTGTCCCTCATCTCTTTTCCCATCTTCCCTCATCCCACCCTGTCTTGCTCACGGGGTGTTTAGAAAAGAAGGAGCTGGAAGCTAATCCAGGAAAGCCTGTGCTGTCCCCAGCCAGCTCCTGGCTCCCTTCCTGCAGCCAGAGCAGTGGAGATGCACAAGAGAGCTTAAAATCCCATTTTGGGTGAAAGGGAAACACGGCCAAGAGTTTCTTATCCATGCAACCAAAGTTTAAACAGTCAGAGTGCAGGTTTTAGCTCGGATTTGGGTTGCGGAAAAGGAAAACTGTCCCCTCACAGCTGTGTGTACTTGACCTCAGCATCTCAGACCAAGAGAGAAAATGAAAAACGTTGAGAAAATTACTTAATTGAGTCAAACCAAAGCGGGGAGAGGGTTGAAATGAGCTTAGGAGGTGCAACACCCTCCTGCAAACACCATCGGTCTCTTTCCAGAGACTGGAAAACTCAGCACACAACCCACGGTCTGGCACAGGGGCTGGCAATGACAACGAGCCCACCCAGCACCAGCAGCTGTGGCCAGGATGGATCCACAGCCCCACATGGTGCTGCCAAGGGGAACAAGAGCAGCCGAAGGTGTGGTGGGAGCTGAGGGATGGTTTTATTACTCAAGGTGTGACATCCTCGCTCCATCCCCACTGGAACAGGGATGAATGAGGGTTTAACAACATCCTTTTAACCACTCCATGGCTGTTTCTCCTGCTGCTTTCCCCACGCCTCTCCCCCCCATTTTTCCATGGATGCCCAGTGTTTCTGTGTGGAGTGTCAGTGCATTGCCTGGTGTGAGGACCGTCCACAGGGCTGGGGGCTGCTGGAGGCGTCAGTCCAGCTGGGACAGGACTGGGAAGCCACCAGTGTCCTTGGGGAGCAAAGCCTGTGGCACTGGGGACACGCATCCCTTGTGAGGGATGGGCTCAGTCCCTGCCTCCACGGAGGGATGATGGATCCATCCTCTGTCTCCATGCAGAGGTGATGGAACCAGCCTCTGTCTCCATGCAGAGATGATGGAACCAGCCCCTGCCTCCCCAGGATGATGATGGATCCACAGAGAGTTGCTGGATCTTTGGGAAGATGATGGATCCATCCCTGACTCCACAGGGAGATGATGGGTCTGTCCCCTCCCTCCACGGGGTGGTGATGGCTGACGGGGAGATGCCAGCTCCGTCCCCTGTGTCCATGGGGTGACATGGGACAGCTGCCCATGCTAGCAGCTCCCTCCCGTGCACAGGAAGATGCCCAGGGCCATGCCCAGCAGGCTGAGGCTTCCCAGGACCAGCCCCAGTACCAGCGGAGTGCGCGATCGGCTGCTGACCTTTCCTGCAAGAGGCGAGAGGGATGGAAGTGACAACTGGGCCACGCCACCACATCCCTGTCCCCAACCCCGGCCCCACACAGACCTGTCCTGGCGCTCTGAACCTCCAGGATGCTGACACAGGTGGTGTTGAGGAAATACTGCAGGTCCCGGGTGGTTATGGGGTATTTCATCAGCTGTTGCTGGGCGAAGGCGGCCACAGGGAGCTCGCCGGGCCAGCGGCACTCCCAGGTGGCGCTGGGGACGTGGAAGCTGAGGAATGCCGTCCTGTTGAGGGTCACCTCATAGAAGCTCTGGGCTGTGCCGTTGGGGTAGAGGCGGCAGCCGAGGTGGCAGCACAGGTGATGGGTGACTGCGGGGACAGAGGGGACAGGGTCACCACGCTCCCACCCTGAGCACCCCATGGCCCTCACCGGCAGCAAACTGGGCACTGAGTTCACACAGCTCAGCACCACCCAAGCCACCCACAGCTTTGCTTCCCCTTGGTTTGAGCATGGCAGTGGCTTTTCCAGCGGCTGGGACTATTTTCCCTCCCTTATCTCCACGCAACAGAGCTCTGGTTCTACAGAGAGGGAGGTTTTGGGCACAGAGCTGCTTGTGGCTCTGGCGGATGGAGCGAGGCACCGGGACAGGGACACCAGGAGGGAGAGGGCGGGTCATGCCAGAGACTCTGCGGTGACACTGGGCTCCCCAAGGGTACAGGAGTGTGGGGCTGCAGCAAAACCGGTTTGGGGGTAACCAAGGAAAGGAAAGGAAAGCACACCCCAGGCAGGAGCAGCAAAGGCAGCAGGGCTTGTGGGGCAGAGCGAGCTGGAGCACAAAACCATCACCAGCAGCGTCCCTCAGCTCCCACAAGCTGCGGGATGCAGGCAGGGTGCCAGTGGGATACAGCTGGGATGCAGGCATAGCACAGGCAGGCAGCAGACAGGGCTCCTACACCTCACCACCCCACAGGCTGCAGCCCCCAGCCCTTTTCATGAGGAGCAACAGGTTGAGCATCGTCCTGTTCCCAGGGTGTGCTCCGGGTAAGAAATTCCCGGCTCCACAGAAGGGCTCCCTTTGCTCACAGAGAGGTTTTGCACATTGCCGTGTCCTCATCCCTTTGCCCATCTGTCCCTGCAGAGCCACCCCCGTGCCTGGCAGCGCAGAAGAGGCTCCCCTCCCGGGGCACCCACCCCTGTCCCCCGGGTACCACTCACAATCGGTGGGTCTCTCCTTGTTGAAGAGCATCACCAGCTGCCTGAAGTTCTGCAGGTAGGTGATCACCTCGTTCTGCCGCCGGGCCCAGGCGTCCGGAGGCTCCAGCGGGAGCACCTGGGTGACATTATTCCCTTCCAGGAGATGGCTGAGCTGCCCATTCAGACTGGCGTTCCCCCGGAACATGGAATAGCCCTTGTAGACGCGGGTCAGCTGGAGCATGGTGAAGGCGAGCGGAGCTGCGGGAGACGTGGGACATCAGCCACCTCCCCGTCACCCGCCGTGAGCCCCGTGTGTCCCCACGCCAACCCCGGTGTTCCCAGGCACCGCCGTGTCCCTGCCTTACCCGCCTGCTCCGCTGCGCAGCCCAGGACCCCGCCGAGCAGCAGCAGCAGCCGCAGCATCGTGGGGACGGGCACCGCGCTGGGGACGCGCTGCTGGCCCCGGGGCTGGCCCGGCTCGGAGCTCAGCCCGGCACCGCGCTGGGGACGTGCACCCATCAGGATCCCATTCCCTGGAGGGTGCAGGGTCCCATGGGGTTCCCCCTACTCGAAGGGACACCTCAGGGTCACCTGTAGGATCCCATCCCCTGTGGAGAGGGCATCCTTGGAAGGTGCAGGGTCCCATGGGGTTCCCCCCGCTCGAAGGGACACCTCAGAGTCACCTGTAGGATCCCATCCCCTGTGGAGAGGGCATCCAGCAACAGGACTCTGCTTCCTGGAAAGGGGTGACACTCTGGGTAGGTGACACTCTGGGCAGTGGGGATGAGAAATCAATGGCAGGGCCAAACCTCCATACACCTAAAAGTCCACTGGGTTGGTCTGGCAGGCCTTGCCCTTGGTGCAGCCGTGCTGGCTGTCCCGGGTCACCTCCTGTCCTCTCCGTGCCTCAGCAGAGCTTCCAGGTCTATCCCAGGATCCTCCCGAGCACAGAGGGGAGGCTGACAGGCCGTAGCTCCGCGTCCCAGGCTCCTCCTTTCCACCCTTTTTGAAGATGAGAACAAGGACTCCGGTTTTTTTCATCACCTGGGGCCTGACCGGACATCCAGGACCTTCCAAATATCCTGGAGAGCGGCTGGGCAGCTCCCTCAGCCGATTCCTTCAGGACTCAGGGACGCACCTCCGGCACGATGGCGCGGTCGGGGACGGCGGGGCATGTCCCCACTGCCCGGCACCATGTCGCGACACAGGGAGACGTGTCAAGCCGTCTGTCGCTCCGTGGCGGCGGGCTGGGCGTGTCCCCTGGGCCGGGGCGTGTCCCGGGGCGTGTCGCCGGTCCGTGCGTGTCCCGGGGCGTGTCCCGGGGCCGCCGCGTCCCCGCGTGTCCGTGCCCGCGACCGCGACCGCCCGGGGCCGGAGTGCGCGGCCCGCGCTCCTCCCGGGCGGGCGGATGGGGACCCCCTCCCGTGTGCCCCCCGCCCGCGCCGCTTCCCCGTCCCCGTCACCCTCGGGCCGTCGCCGTGGGAGGGCAGGGGTCCCACGGGGGGAGCCCCACGGAGGGGGTGTGCCCGTCCCTGTCCCCATCCCCGTCCCCCCCGGGATAAGCAACTCGCTCCCTGCAGTTTCTCGTCCGCGGGCCCGGCTGTGCGCTGAGTTTCCCCGGTCTCAGCCCACGTGGCTCCCCGCCCACTCAAGGGGACGCCTCAGGGTCACCCATCGGATCCTATTCCCTGTGGGGTGCAGGGTCCCATGGGGTTCCCCCCACTCGAAGGGACACCTGAGGGTCACCTGTAGGATCCCATCCCCTGGGGGGCACAGGATCCCGCGGGAATGCTCCAGCTCACGTATCACCTTTTCAGGCATGAACGCCGCTGTCCGCGCTGTCACCCGCATGGGGATATACGTGGGAGCCAAGGTCTTCCTCATCTATGAGGTTGGGGTTCCCCCCCTGCTCCCCGTCATGGCTGGGGGGATCCACCCCCCCTGTGCCGGGGTACCTTTCACCTCCACCCTCTGCTTCTCCACAGGGCTACGAGGGGCTGGTGGAGGGGGGTGACAACATCAAACAAGCCAACTGGCTCAGCGTCTCCAACATCATCCAGCTGGTGAGGGTCACCGCGGGGCCACGGGACTCCAGATCGCAGCCCCCCAAACGTGTGTGACAAGCCACGTGTCCCGTTCTGTCCCCAGGGCGGGACGGTGATCGGCAGTGCCCGCTGCAAGGCCTTCACCACGCGGGCGGGCCGGCTCCGGGCCGCCCGCAACCTGGTGGAGCACGGCATCACCAACCTGTGCGTGATCGGCGGCGACGGCAGCCTCACCGGCGCTGACATCTTCCGCTCCGAGTGGGCTGGGCTGCTGGAGGAGCTGGTCCGAGATGGTGGGTGAGCCCCTCCCAGCCTCTTTGGGGTGGTGACCCGGAGGGTCACCCCGGTGCTGTGACCCCAAGGAGGCCTGGGCACCAGCCCATGATGGTGGGGACGTGAGTGCCCTGAAATAACCGGTGTGGTGGCCGTGACCCCCGCAGGGCAGATCAGCGAGGAGGTGGCGAAGAAGAATTGCCACCTGAACATCGTGGGCCTGGTGGGCTCCATCGACAACGACTTCTGTGGCACCGACATGACCATCGGCACCGACTCGGCGCTGCACCGCATCATGGAGGTCGTCGACGCCATCACCACCACGGCACAGAGGTGAGGGGACGGGGACCAGGAGGCTGCAGCGCCCCGGCCATTGCATCCACCCACCTCCTTCTCTTCCCACCCGTGTCCTTGCAGCCACCAGAGGACATTCGTGCTGGAGGTGATGGGTCGCCACTGCGGGTAAGCCCTCATGGGTGGGGAAGCCATTGGTGGGATGGAATGCCACATTTCAGGGCCAGTGCTGCCACCACTGTGTCCCCCCAGGTACCTGGCACTGGTGTCCGGCCTGGCCTCGGGCGCTGACTGGCTCTTCATCCCTGAATCCCCTCCGGAGGATGGCTGGGAGGACCTCATGTGCGAGAGGCTCGGGGAGGTGAGGGGGGTTCCTGCCATCCCATCCCATGCCCTGTTCCCCCCACAGGGGCCTGGGCTGAGTCCTGCAGCTGTGCCCAGCCCCTGGGAAGCTTCGGGAGGTGCCACCATTGTCCCTGTGAACCAGGGCACTCAGCCGAGCGCAAATCCAGCCCTCGCGTGCCAGGGGCAGCGCTGGCTTGGGGGCTCAGCTGCCCGTGACCTGAGCCACCCCCGGGGCAGCACAGAGGGTGGGAAGGGGAGGGCGCTCACACAGGGCCCACGGTGAGTTTTGGCTGAGCCGTGGTGTCCGTTTGTCCTCCCCTTGTGGCAGACACGCAGCCGGGGCTCGCGGCTCAACATCATCATCATCGCCGAGGGCGCCATCGACCGCAGCGGCAAACCCATCACCTCCAACTACGTGAAGGACGTAAGGGACTGCCCCGGCACCACCCTGGCACCCACGGACACCGGCGGGTCCCCAGCGTGATGTCCCCTCTTCCCCACAGCTGGTAGTGCAACGCCTGGGCTTCGACACGCGGGTCACCGTCCTCGGCCACGTGCAGCGCGGAGGGACCCCGTCCGCCTTTGACCGTGTGCTGGTAGGTCCAGGGAGGGCACAGAGAGGGGAAACCCACTCCTGCCATCCCTCTGCCAGTGGGAAGGGGTGAGACTCAGATGGGCTCAGCCCTGCTCTGCCATTTCTCCTCGTTTACTCCAAATTTCATGGTTTTTTAAATAAAACCATCAGCTTTCCAGCAGTGAATCAGCAGCCACATGGTTTCCAAGCCACATGGGAGCATCCCTGAGCATCCCACCCAGCTGGCAGTGGTGGCCCCAGTGTCACAGGTGCCCCTGTCCCTTTGCAGAGCAGCAAGATGGGGATGGAGGCGGTGATGGCGCTGCTGGAGGCCACGCCAGACACCCCGGCCTGCGTGGTCAGCCACTCCGGGAACCAGTCGGTGCGGCTGCCGCTCATGGAGTGTGTCCAGGTGGTGAGTACCGGGGAAGTTGGGTGGGAGTCTCACTCCCTTCCCTGTGAACGTGGGTGTTATGGTGCTGCATCTTTCTCCCTGCTCAAGACAAAGGATGTGCAGAAGGCCATGGATGAGAAGAGGTTTGATGAGGCTATCCAGCTCCGTGGAAGGTGAGGAGCAGGGACCAGGACCGGGGGAGACATCCCTCTTGGACAGGGGCTTCTCCTTGTGGGGAAGCTGTTGGCTCTTGCAGCAGAAGGGTGTCCCCAGTCACACCCCAGGGGCACTGGGGAAACTGCCCCTTCTCCCAGACGTGCCCTGGGGACACATCACCGTGTCCTTGCAGGAGCTTTGAGAACAACTGGAACATCTACAAGCTGCTGGCGCACCAGAAGCCAGCTCAGGAGAAGGTGAGGGGTGATGGGGAGCAGCAGGGTACACCATCCCTGCTCTGGGGACACGTGGGGATGTGCTGTTCCCATCCCTGTTCCCGCAGAGCCCCTTTAGCATGGCCATTCTGAACGTGGGAGCGCCGGCCGCCGGCATGAACGCTGCCGTGCGCTCGGCCGTGCGCATCGGCATCTGCCAGGGACACACCATCTACGTGGTGAACGACGGCTTCGAGGGCCTGGCCAAGGGGCAGGTAAGGGGGACCCTGAGCCTGGGATGTCCTGGAGGGTGGGGTTGGGCTTGGGGGAGGGGGCTCTTCCCACCTCTAACCTGTTGCTGGTGCCCGCAGGTCCGCGAGGTGGGCTGGCATGACGTGGCAGGATGGCTGGGCCGCGGTGGCTCCATGCTGGGCACCAAGCGGTGAGTGCAGCCCAGGGGACAGGGACATAGGGAAAAGGTGTCCCCACCATCCTCACCCCACTGTCTGCCGCCCTTCTCCACCACAGGACGCTGCCCAAGACCTGCATGGAGAAGATCGTGGAGAACGTGCGCAAATTCAACATCCAGGGGCTGCTGGTCATTGGGGGCTTTGAGGTGCGGCGGAATCCTTGGTTCAGTGCGGGCTGGGGTGGCTCTGGGCATCCCAGAGGAGTCTTTCTGGGGTGTGGATCTGGCTGCAGGGCCAGCATTTCCCAACCCCTTGGCTGCTTGCAGGCGTACGAGGGGGTGCTGCAGCTGGTGGAGGCACGCGGGCAGTACGAGGAGCTGTGCATCGTCATGTGCGTCATCCCCGCCACCATCAGCAACAACGTGCCCGGCACCGACTTCAGCCTGGGCTCCGACACGGCCGTCAACGCTGCCATGGAGGTGAGGGACACGGGCAGGGACAGCTCATGGGGCCGCCGTGCTCCACTGCCTTCCATCACGGCCTGGAGTGGCCAATGTCCCGTGCTGGGAAGCAAAGGTGGCTTTTCCCTGGTGTGACCTCGCCTTCTTTGGCACAGAGCTGCGACCGCATCAAGCAGTCGGCCTCGGGCACCAAGCGCCGCGTGTTCATTGTGGAGACCATGGGGGGCTACTGCGGGTACCTGTCCACGGTCACCGGCATCGCCGTGGGCGCCGACGCTGCCTACGTCTACGAAGATCCCTTCACCATCCACGACTTAAAGGTGAGCAGCAGGAGCGGTTCTCTGGCTAAAATGAGAAGGAAAATCGGGGAAGGGAGGGCTCCCGAGCAGGGCAGGAGCTGGAGGACATGGCCCTGCTGGATTGATGTCAGGACAGGATGGCTGTGGAATGGCTGCCGGCATCTGGGTGTTCATCTTGCAGGCCAACGTGGAGCACTTGACTGACAAAATGAAGACAGATATCCAGAGAGGGCTGGTGCTGCGGTGAGTTGGGGGTCCTTGGGGACAATTACTGCAAACCCCAGCCCTGTGGCAGGGAGCAAGGCTGGAGCTGAACCCTTCCCATGGCCAGAGAGGGGTCCTGGGCATGGTGAGGTTTGGCACTTGGCCCTGGGGACACTGGATGCCTCCGCTGCCATCCCCATCCCAGCCCCAGGGTCCTCCTGGGGGCACAGACTGAGACTCTGGGCCTCAGGAGAACAAAAAAGTGTTATGGGAAACAAAGGGGGACCCCCTGGGCATGCCAGGGGAAGGAGCAGCCCCCCAAGCCCTTCCCTCTGCTCCCCAGCAATGAGAAGTGCCATGAGCACTACACCACCGAGTTCCTCTACAACCTTTACTCCTCTGAGGGCAAAGGCATCTTCGACTGCAGGATCAATGTCCTGGGCCACCTCCAGCAGGTACAGAGGTACAGGGGACAGGGTGACCTGGGCCCTGCTGGCCCTGAGAGCTGGGCAAGGCCTGACATCCCCATTTCTTTGTCCCCAGGGGGGAGCCCCAACCCCCTTTGACCGAAACTATGGGACCAAGCTGGGAGTGAAGGCGGTGCTGTGGATGTCAGAGAAGCTGCAGCAAGTCTACAGCAAGGGTGAGCCGAGGGCTGGGGATCCCACGGCGGGTGGGGAAGGCTGGTGGCTGCTGCTCCAGGCTTCCAGGCTTGGCCCCCAGTGAGGTGGCCAAGGTCAGCAGTGTCCCCCTCCCAGGACGTGTGTTTGCCAACTCTGGAGACACTGCCTGTGTGATCGGGCTGCGGAAGAAGGTGGTGGCCTTCAGCCCTGTGACGGAGCTCAAGAAAGTCACGGATTTTGAGTAAGTCCTCATGCCCCAGCGGTTCACCGGCTCCCGGGGGAACCTTCCTGGGCTGTCTGCTCTAGACCTGTGTCCCCTGCAGGCACAGGCTGCCCCAGGAGCAGTGGTGGCTGAACCTACGGCTGATGCTGAAGATGCTTGCCAACTACCAGATCAGCCTCACCGAGTACATCTCGGGGCAGATGGAGCACGTCACCCGTCGCACCCTCAGCATCGAGAAGGGCTTCTAGTCCCACCAGCCCGGCCCATAGCCCCCGCCGTGTCCTCTCTGTGCCCACATGCTGCTGGGGGAGCACTGTGTCCCCTCTGTTCTCAGTAGCCCTGTAGCTTTGCCATCGACCCCTTACAGCAGGCAGAGCCTGGTGCTGTGTCCCAGAACGGCACAATCCTGCCCCGAATCACTGCTGCGGGTTCTGGTCCCTGTGCGGATGCAGAAGAGTTGCTTGAGCCCAGCCGCACAGCCCAGACCTTTAATCTTCCCTTAATAGTTTATTATTATTTAATGATGGGGTATTTTGAGTCCTTATTTAGCGGCTTGACCGCCTGAGCCAGCTGCTGCTGCTTGTAGTCGCCTGCCCCACGTGCGGGAGGGGAGTGAGGAGGATGCAGAGCCATCCCGGAATGGGTCCGAGCAGTTCCCAGGGGCTTTGGGTGCCCCTGTGGAGCTCCATCCCCCGTGGGGGTCTCGAGGGCTGAGCACGGGGGTCCTGGCGAGCCCCTGTCCCCTTGCATGACGCTTGGCTGCGACCGTCACCGCGTGGCTGTGGGCACCGTGTCTGTCACCTCACTGCTGCTCTGTGATCCTGCACCGCCCGCGGCGCTGCTCCTCTCCTCTAGAGATAAAACCTGCTGGAGCCAAACCTGCCTCCTGGAGTGATCATTGTGGGGGGATGGATGGCAGGACTGGGGCAGGGTGGGGGCAATAGCAAAGCTGATGGTTTTCCCAAGCTGGGTTAATGCTGGGCCAAGACGTTCCCTGGTTTTGTGCATCCTCAGAGCCTGGGAGAGTGGGACCACAGGCGGCTTCTCCCCCCTGTCCAAGTCATGGTGGGTGCAAGGTCAGCATCGTTTTGCAATTGCTTCACGATTCCAGAGAAAAATCACTATGTTCCCACCTCCAGAGGAACCACACAAGGGCTTTAGGGTGGTGCTGTGCTTGTTTGTGAGGCAGTTTCTCAGAGCACCGGCCAAGTGTGCCGGCCTGGCCGAGCTCCGCGCGCTCGGGCTGCGCCAGACGGTCACAGGGAGTCCCTTTCCCAGGCCACTTCCCTCCTGGGGCTGCTGGCTGACGGCTCCAGCCTGCGGCACAGCATCAGTATGCATCACAGTCTTTGGGGTCAAGCATGCCGTTACTTTGTCCTCCCCATGGACTTGTCCCCAACTGAAAGTTCCCCCTGACTTGCCCCCTGCCTTTCTCTGATGGAGTGACTCCCTCAGTGGGCAAGGGAAAGGTCATGGATGACATTTATCCTGATTTCTATGCAGCCTGGACACAATCCCACCCAACATCCTTCTCTCTGCATTGGAGAGAGCTGGATTCCATGGATGGACTGTCAGATGGATAAGGGATTGGCTGGATGGTCACTTCCAGGGGGTCAGTGGCTCAGAGTGGCCGTCAGTGACCAGTGGTGTCCCAGGGTCTGTACTGGACCAGTGGTATTTAAGATCTGTATCACTGCACAGAGGGTTCGGGGCACCCTCAGCAGGTGTGCAGGTGACACCAGGCTGAGGGTGCAGTGACACTCCTGAAGGACGGGGCCATCCCGAGGGCCCTGGAGAAGCTCCAGAAGGGACCCATGGGAATCTCATGAGGTTTAACACCACCAGGTGCTGGTGCTGCCCCTGGGTCAGGGCAACCCCCGGGATCAGTCCAGGCTGGGGATGAGCAGAGGGAGCAGCCCTGGAGAAGGACCTGGGGGTGCAGGTGGTGAGGGCTGGCCATGCCCCATCCCAGGACCCCCCTGCCCTGGGCTGATCCCCAGCAGGGTGGGCAGCAGGGAAGGATTGGGATTCTGCCCCTCTGCCCTGCTCAGGTGAGACCCCAGCTGCAGAGCTGCCCCAGCCCTGGGGCCCAGCACAGGAAGGAGCTGGAGCTGCTGGAGAGAGTCCAGAGGAGGCACCAGGGTGAGCAGAGGGATGGAGCAGCTCTGCTGGGAGGAAAGGCTGGCACAGCTGGGATTGTTCACCTGGAGAGGAGAAGCTGTGGGGTGACCTCACTGTCAGTACCTGAAGGAGCCAACAAGGAAGCTGGAGGACTTTGGACACGCCAAGGGGAAATGGCTTCCCACTGCCGCAGGGTTAGATGGGATATTGGGAAGAAATTCTTCCCTGTGAGGCTGGGGAGGCCCTGGCACAGTTGCCCAGAGAAGCTGTGGCTGCCCCTGGATCCCTGGAAGTGTCCAAGGCCAAGTTAGACAAAGCTTGGAGCCACCTGGGCTTGTGAAAGGTGTCCCTACCCCAAAACCATTCCATGATTTCAGTGCTTTTCCCCTAACTGAACATATTTTAGGCTCTGGAGGAAGATGGTAACTTTTGTCTCCTCCCTGGACCCATAAGTGGCAGACCTTGCTGATGGAGGCAGCATTGCCTGACTGCTTTGGAATGACTATCTGCTTTGGAGACCCCCGGCAGACCTGGCATCTCCTGGAGCTCCTTTTCCTGGGTTGGAAGTGGGCTCTTCCACTCTCCCATGTGCCACTCCACTTTTGGGGAGTCCCAGCCCACTCCTTCCATCCCTCCCTCAGCCATGGACCTCACACCTGCCTCACCACCAGCCTCTCAGAGTCTCTGAGGGTGGTTTGAAGGGAAGTGGCTCAGTACAGCTGCTGGCATTTTCCAGAGCTGGAATCATCTGAATTCACCGCTCGATATTCCCGGCTGAGGCAGGGCAGGGTGATAGCAGGTCATGTGGAAAATCTGTCGGCAGCACTGCCCTGCAGCAAACAGGTTTAGGGTGTGAATGGGGACAGGGGTGCCCCCAGGCTCAGACCAGCTGCATGTTGAGGGACAAGAGTCACTGCAGCCCCCACACCTCATTTCCATCTAAAAAAATACCTGGAGGGCCAAATTCCTGGGAGAAAACTGAGAGGCATAGCCACTGAATTCCAAGGATGAGCAGGAGGGGCGTGACTGTGCTCCCAGACTTCCCAGCACATCCAGCCCACCCTGAAAAGAGGGCAGAGCAAGCCTCCAGAATCATCCTACAGGGGAAGGCAGGCTGCCAGGGCCCTGGAGGGGCTGAGCTCCCGCTGGGGTTTGCTGGGATGCTGCAAGGAGCAGTTGGGAGCCCCGAGGGCAGCACCAGCACCAGCCAAGGATGACAAGCACAGCACGTAGGCAGCAAATAGCCCAACTTCTCCAGGAATTGTGTCAGTGTGGCCTCAAGGGCACAGTGATTGCTCCATCCGCCCCATGAGTCCTGATGGACACTTCCTTTGATCCCTTGCATCCCAGAGAAGATGGGGGTCCAGCTCACCCAAACAACTCCCTTGTTCCTTGACATGGACAGGCCAGGGCCTGGGAGAAGACTTGCACTCAGCAGGGTGAGTCTCCCAGGCCCTGGATGCCAAAGAAAGTCTGGGACATCATAAATCACACAACTGCAGCTGGGTTTAACGCAAAAGGCAAGAACAAAGGTCTTTCGAGGAGTTAAAGGCATCAGCAAATCTCCCCCTGAGTGTTGAGGGTCAAACTGTGTCTGCTCCCACCAAGGTCAGGCAAACAAGCTTGTGGACACAGGGCTGTCACCATCCCCGAGGAGCATTCCTTCCTGGTAGCACAGCCTGGACACTGCACAAACAGAGACAGGGGGCCATGGAAAGGCCACGTCACCAGTGCGGCACTGGGAGACATGGAGAGTTCATGTCCTATATCTCAGGGCCATCATCCTGCCCAGGTGGCTCTGCACTGAGCTCTCCTCAGCACCTCTTTTGCTCCCTGCCTTTGCTGTGGTTGCAAGAAGGTTGCAAGACAGCCCAGTGGCCGTGCAGAGCAGTGCTGGGAGCAGGCTCACCGTTCCAGAGGCGCAGTGAAGCGGGAAGGCACGGGGCTCCCAGCCTTCCTCCCGCTCACAATGCACTCCCTGAACCAGAGGTAATGGAGCAGTGCCCCCAGCCAGGCCTTTGCTGAACTCCAGCCACCACTTACACGGCCTTGAAGGATAATTTGGTTTATTTGGTATGTCATAACAGTTTAGTTTGTACTTGACAGCTCTATAAAACTTGGTAAATGCAGTTTTATCAGTTAAAGAGCAACACCCACCCCTGATGCCTGTGCAAACCAGGCAGAATGCTCAGGGCCTTTTAACTGGGATGTTTCTTTAAGCTGCTCGAATGCCTGCAGGGAATGTTGGGGTGAGAGGACAGCTGAGCATTCAGGATGTGGGAGTCATTCCTGGTTCACCTAGGCTGCTCTGAGCTTTCCTTTGGGCTGCCTGACCAGCAGGCACTGCGTGCGCCAGGAAGGACCTGAGGAAGTCAGCCAGGAGCTGGAAAATAAATTAACAACGGGACATTGACCTTCACCACCTGCACCAGACAGGTCCTGGTGACCATCTCAGGCAACGTCTCCCTGTCAGACTCCACCAAACCAGATTTCTGTGGCACAAACTGCCCTCAGAGGTGCTGTGCACCCCCAGGCTGGCTGAGGGGTGGAGCCCCTCCCAGCCATCAGCAGGCTCTGCTCCCCCTCGGATCACACAGCACCTCTGGCTGCAGCCCTGCTCCCTTCTGCTTTGCTCATTTGCCTGCAGCTCCCACCAAGAGCCCCAGCCACCCAGGGTACAGTGTCAGAGCCTGCTGCACAAGCAGGAAATCTCCAGAGAAGCAGCATCCCATCCCATGCCCTCGCAGGGGAAGCAGAGCGAGGAGCACGGAGGCTTTGGCTGCAGCCAGGGGTGTGGGCAGGACAGTGTCACGGGGCTGGGGCTCCAGGGAGGTTGGAAGGGGGATGGGCATTGTCACTCCTCCTGCAGCTCCTTCTTCTGGAAGGCCTGGAGCCTCCTCGCCACCGTCTGCTGGATGATCTCCAGCCCCTCTGCGTCCAGTTCCTTCATGAGAAGCAGGATGGCATTCAGGACATTGTTCTGTCGGGATAAAGCACACACTGCTTTGTACCAGCCAGTCAAGACAAGGACACTCGATTTTCCCTGCTCTTTCTAGGAACTCCTTCCACCACCACCACCACCACCACCGGCAGCAGTTTGGAACAGCCACCTGCAGCCACGGGACCAGGACTAACAACCAAGGCCTCGGGGCAAACACAGGCGGAGGCGCATGTGGCACGTGACGAGGCTGGAATGCAGGACAAACCCATCCTGCGCCCAGCCCTGTGCCGGCTGCCCACAGCCTCTGGCTGCCGGCCACGCTCCAGCCTGGCTTCTGTCAGGAAAAGCACTTTCAGGAGCGGCTGCCCTCGCTCTCCAGCATGTGTAGGATGGGAAAGGACAGGAGGCCCCTGCTCTGAGGAATGAGGAGAGCTGGTGCTCTCTGCAAAGGACTCTTGAAGGTCCCCAGCCCTGCCACCACCACAGGACCACTGCCAACAGCAGGCCGTGGCTCTGTCAAATCATGTCCTGAAGAACTCCAGGGAGAGATTCCACAGCCTAAATAGCTGTCCTTCTAGGGAGAATCTTTTGCCCAACATCCAACCTGAGCATCTTCAGCTACAATGGGGGACCACTTCTCCCCTCTTTAAAGGTCAGAGCTTGTGGTGCTGCTCTAGGCAGCTATGGCAGTGTGGGTTACATCTTGCTCTGCTGATTGATGCAACGGCACCGAGTCCAGCACTCTGCAATTCCCAGCTGAACCACCAAAATTCAGGTTCATCCAAGGCTACATGATGGAGGGGGCTAAGGAACCCT